AAAAAAAAAAAAAGAGGTCTTCTAAGAAATAGCACTAAAAAATGCATTAGTTAGGGAGACAATAATTCCTTATCCATCCATACCTTATGGAGAAGATAGCTGATGTTGTTAATCTGTATAGAAAGATCACTAGGTACATCTGAGATCAAAGTCCTACATTGTTAAAGGAAAGTATTAACTAATAAATTTCTAAAATACTTATATTAAATTTATTATGATTATGTAGAAGTAAAATGGTAACAACTCAGTTGTACCTGACAGCTTCTTCTGTGTAGAAGGTGTCTGGCCTGGTCCCAATTTTCATGAACTTCATTTTCTCAGCTGGTATTTTCTTTCTATCAGTATATGTTTGACAATTTTCTCACTTCATAATACTGCGAGATGCTCCTATAAATAATTCCTGAAAAGAAAAAGAACCCAGAATCTAAATGCATATTGTTTTGTTCACATGAGAAAAATGAGGAAAAAAGACAAGACAAGAAGTTTTAGAAGAAGAAGCAAACAAAACAACTACTGTATAACTTGGAATATGTGCTCACATTTAGGTGCATGATCTTAAGTATTCCGCCTTTCATGAAAGAAGCAAACTTGTAAAATTAATACCACAGTGATCAAAGGAAGGATTGCCAAGTAAGATCATGAATTACTTGACTAAACTTAGAGTGATCAAACTTTGAGAGTGATTAAGGAAAATGGGAATGGAAAAAGAAGAAGCAGAAAATGAAGACAGAATTCTTAAAAGACCTGTCTAAGCTTTATGGCTTAATACATGATGATATGCATGCAAATTGAGTGCTTAAAAAGTACATGAACTACAATGACAGAAAATTCTTGAAGATGGGGATTAGGTATTACCTCAGCTTTCATCCCTCAAAGGGTCCCATCTTCTTGATCATCTTATCCTTTATACTGTATATAAAGACCCCTCCAAGCCCTTCAATTTATAACTGAGGAAAGTTCACCTGCATCACTGAAAAAATAAAAGAAAAAGGAACATATTAAGT